GAAACCCGAGGAAAACAAGCCTACCATACGCCAACTCTAGTCCGCAAAAGAAAATTCACCGAGTTACCGTTGGAAATGCCGCCGGCGCGGCGTCCCCAGCCCTGTCTACCGTCTTCTGCGGACTAGAACGTACGGTCATTACAGCCGTATTTGGCTCGCCTTTTTTTTTTTTTTTTTTCCCCAATAACAGTCTCTCTCTTATTAAACCAAAAGGGGCCGGCCTCTCCTTCGCTTCCCGCCTGCGAATGTATGTTCTATTCGGGGGAAGAAGCCAGTTTCCCCAGACGTACCCAAAGTCAGGAATTACGCAGGTGTTAGCTAGGCGACCCAAAGGGACGGTAAATAAAAGAGGAGTTTTGAAACAGCGGTGGAGCAGGAGTACATCCTTCCTCAAAGGGTAAGCAATCGATGCCGCTGTCTCAGCGTCCCTCATTGACCATGACAAAGGGAAGAGTCGAGAGGTAATTGATTTGAGGGGTGCTGGACCCGATTTCCACCCTTTTAAAACTGATTAGAGTGGGTTTTTTTTTTTTTTTTTTTTAAACAGGGCCTTATGGTCCTGGATCCTTCTATTCTGGGGAGCGGCAGTCCGGTTCCTATTCCACCGGCTGCACACGAGGGCCATTTTCCAGGCCCTGCGTCCCTCAGGCTAAAAGCCTGAAAACCAGGGCCTACAGGCCCCGTGTCTGTTCAGCCCGAAAGCCTGAAAACAGGGGTCTACAGACCCTGTGTCGTTTCAGACTAAAAATGGCAATAGCCTTTTTAGCCTGAAACGAAGGGCCATTTTCGGTCGTTCATCAGAACGACCGGCCCTGAAACTCAGGCACCGAACCAGGGTTCGGGAACAGGCTATTCTTAGCCTGTTCCCACGACAGCCTCAGCAGAGGCTGCAGCGCCAGCCCCTGGCACACTTCGCCATTGGCAAGAGCAGCCTCCTCGGCCTGGCTCGCCCTTCAGGCAGTCAGGAGGCAGGCCGGGGTAGTACATAGGGACTTCCCATGCACTTCATGGGCAGGCAGGAGGCAGTAGTAGTCTTCAGGATTCGGCAGCAGCACTCTGGAGGGAGCGCTGCAGGAGTAGTAGAAGCGTTAGCCTTAGTCTTCAGCGTTGGGCGCAGTAGGTAGCTGCAGTCTCCAGCGCTGGGCGCCATAGCTAGGATAGCACTAGAGAGAGAGAGATTGGGCGGAGGCCTTGGGTACTTATCTGCAGCACTGTTGCTCCAGCTTCGTCTTCGAGGTACCTGCAGCACAGCGCCAACATCACAGGTTAGTATATGGCTTGTAACAGAGAGAGAGAGTTCTTCTTCTTCCTCTTCTCAGTCCACCATCTCCCTCTCACCCTCTCATCATCTGACTTCACTGCATCAGCAGACTACGAGAGAAGAGAGAGAGAGCTTGGTGACATTGGATCCAGACTCGACTTTTTGCTTCAGACATTGCAACGAGGGATTATTTGGGACTTGTGACAAGGACTTGGTGTTGACGACATTCCCATCTCTCCCTCTCCTCTTCGTCTGATCCCCTCCTCTTCGTCTGTGTATGTCTGGACCTGGCGCTTCCTTCCTGTGTACAGCGCCAGGCTCCTTCACACTTTGTGATGGACACGATGTATGTTTGGTCTGCGTTCAAACATTGATTGGGCTAGTCATTAGCATTCTAGCATTCTGCTTCGCTATCTTTCACTACGTGAATGAGGTCAGTCCCGGTCAGGTCAGGACTTGTATCTAAGTCTTCCACTGCGCTATTCAGCACCCTTTTGTATGTATGAGAATGCACATTGCTTGTTGAGATTCTACTTGCACTGCATTGTCCATTCAGTCCTTTTCATCGCATTGCGGACCCTCGGTTTCTATGTACATCGCCCAACTGGGCATGTAACAGCTAGGCAACCCAAAGGGACAGGGTAAATAAAAGAGGAGTTTTGAAACAGCGGTGGAGCAGGAATACATCCTTCCTCAAAGGGTAAGCAATCGATGCCACTGTCTCAGCGTCCCTCATTGACCATGACAAAGGGAAGAGTCGAGAGGTAATTGATTTGAGGGGTGCTGGACCCGATTTCCACCCTTTTAAAAGGGATTAGTGTTTTTTTTTTTTTTTTTTTTAATAAACATGGCCTTATGGGCCTGGCTCCTTCTATTCTGGGGAGCGTCAGTCCGGTTCCTATTCCACCGGCAAGTTAGAAAATGCATTACATTACAGCAGAAACTCACACTTCCTCCCGTTTGGCCGAAGGATCCCTGAACAACATTGATTACTTTTTTCATGCGGAGGATGTGCGGCGGCAGCGACGGTAAGTCAAGGGTGTTGAGTGTATCGATGGGGATGTCAGGGAATTCCTCGTTTGGGAGAAGTGAGTCTGCGCTGAATGATGTGATGGTCTCCCCAGGGAAAGAATCAAGGATGATGTTGTTGAGTGTGGAGACAGTTTTGTTTTTAGGGGCTAAGATGAGGCGTTCGGATATCCAGTCGAGGTTTTGGAAATTGGTCCGGAGGTCGGGGAACGTCCATTCGATGAGCTCAGTGGTACCGCCGTGGATACATAAGTGGGGGGGCAATGAGATAGTGTCAGGCGGAGTTTCGTGAGGGTGTTCGAGTTCGCCGTTTCCTAGTGTGAGGAGCCATTGTGCGTAGTCTCGGCCTTCAGGAGTGGCAATTTGGGTCTGTACTCGCATGTTTTCAGAGAGGTGCATGGTTTGAAAGTGGGCCCACAATGGTGATGATTTGATGCACGCGTCTATCGTTTGTGGTCGTGTGCCTTTAGCGATGACGGGGAGGATTTGTCGGAAGTCGCCGCCAAGGACAACGATTTTTTCGCCAAATGGAAGCGTTGATGAGCAAATGTCTTGTAGAGTTCGATCGAGTGCTTCGATGTGAAATTTGTGCATCATGGGTGCCTCGTCCCATAGGATAACACCGGTCATGCGTATAAGGTCTGCGAGTGCAGATTGTTTGGGAATGTCTAATGTGGAAGTGGTGGTGGGATTGAGGGTTCCTTTGAAGCGCGAATGGAAAGTGCGGCCTCCATCTAGTAGAGTTGCTGCAATGCCGCTCGAGGCAACGACAAGGGCAACACGGTTGTGGAGACGAAGATGCGCAAGAATTGTGTTGAAGCAAAATGTTTTGCCTATGCCTGCAGGTGCATCAACAAAAAGGCAAAGTGATTGATTGTTTTCGGTGGTGTGGACGACACGTTGGAAGATTGCATGTTGGGATGGTGTTAAACGTGGGAGGTTGTTGTCGAGGGTGCGTTGCAGAATACGTTGATCATAAGAGATTTCATCATCGATGATTCGGGGGATGCCTTGGCGGTGTGGTCTTTCGGAAAGATGTTCGGCTTGGTCCCGATCTTCTGCGGATGGGGCAGAGAGGTCGACGTCGCAGAGTTCTTTGCCCTCTTTTTGGAGGCGGTTTTCGATGTCAAGTAAGACCATTGTTCTGATAATCGATGTCGGGACTTGGACATCACGAAGATTTCTATGAAAATCGTCCGTCATTTGTTCCCAATGGGATGAGAAGAATTCATTCGGGTCATTGATGGCATAATGGAGAATTATGTGGACGAAAAGGTCACGCACCATGGGTGACGACGATGTGAAAATAGCATCTTGTAAGACTGCATCGAATTGGGTATTGTCGTTCAGGAGGCCGAGGGCTTTGCATGCGGATTGATACGTCGGGTGAATTTCCCCGGCAACAGTTCGAAGATGCTCAAAACTTGTAGCGCCGCGCAAATGTGGCCAGAGCAGGAGAATTCAGAGGTAGAATGTGTCACCTTCATTTGGGTGGATTGTATGTATTCGTCCGAGTGTGTTCATTGTGTTTCAGCGAGCAGTCCATCGTTTTGTGGTTTTGTCGAAACGAAACCGGTGTATCATATCTTTGTATAGTGGTTTGTCATCTTCAAGATCTTGAAGATGAGCAGCGTTCCATTTAAACCATGCCGCGAGTTCCGTTTCGGGTGGCGGTGCATGCGCAATTTGCAGGGCTTGTCGATGACGAAAATATATGCATTGTCGGTTTTCGGTGTGAACAGGCAGAGGCGTGACAGCGGGGTAGCGATCGCATAAGGCAAAGTCGAAAATGTGCCAACAGGATTCAGCAGCACCAATTGTTCTCATATCCTGGTATGTTTGAATTTCGTCCTCAATATTTACAGCCTCAGCGACCATCGCTCTATCAGGCCCTTTGAGAATATACTCGAACATGTATCGGCATGCGGCGGTCGAGGCACAAATTTCGACATTGAAGTGCGTGCGATATCGGAGGAGGAGGTAAGGGTTATAAGGGACAACCCAGGAATTATCAATTTCAGTGTCACCGCGGAGTGCTGTCAGTCCTCCGTCGTTGGGTGAACGGCGACGATAAATGGGGTATCCGGTTTCTTCATTCTAGGTTGTGCGTTCGGAGAAATCTTTAGGGAAAAAGCGTGTGCAACGGTCATTATGCATACATGATGCGTGCATGTTGCGCATACCACATGGGTTGTGAATCATGTGAGCAAGGACGAGATCTCGCAATGTAGGGTTGGCGGGAAGCTCGGCACAAACAATAGAATCAATTTGTTCGGGTGTTTGAAATTTGTGGTCTTGTTTGAGTGTGACAATAATGTGTGCGTGTGGTAGACCGCGCTTTTGGAATTCAATGACATATGCGTATGATGTTGTTGGGCCGAATATGTGGGTTGAGTGTATGTCGTGGATGAGTTGGCGAAGGTATCCTTTGAATACACGTGCAAGGAGGTCAGGACGGTCCGCTGGTTGTTGATTCGCGAAGAGTGCACTTTCTATTTCAGGCCAATGCGGGTTGCATGTGAAAGTGAGGAATAAGTCAGGCGCTCCATATTCTTGGACGGTCGCCATAGCATCTTGATATCGGCGGTGCATGTCACGCGGTCCTCCAGTGAATGTTCCAGGCAGGATAATGCGTTGGCCAACATTCTCTGTATTGTCATACTGCATAACGTGATCTCTAACGTTTTGGTACAGGTCAACCAGTATTTCAGCTTGGTGTAAGCGATTGTATAGGAGCCGACCATTTTCAATTTTCGCAAATGCCATACAGACGTATTGTTGGAAAAGTCGAGAGGAGCGGAAGAGGGTCGTTCTTTCAGTGACACGTGTGTTTAAGTGGAAAGCATAAAATTCTCCCGCTGTGGTAGATCGAGCGGCATCTTCATCATCACAATCGCATTCAGGTGTCCATCCGTCATCACCTCCAGGAAAAAGAAGAACGTAATGGAGGGGATCAAAATCACGGTTTGTTTCAGGGATCGCGATAGTACCCCCTTCACGTTTGTGAATTTTGATTTCGCGGTTTGTAGGCTGGTTGTGCATGAGGACACATATCTCTTTAAGGCCTTCCGGTTTGTTGTAACGGCGTGCATGCTGGCCTGTTGGCTGGGCGTCAGGATTGATGACAATGTGGCGGTCATGTAACATTTCGTCTGGCATTTCGGAAATAGTAATGAAGTCTTGCATCCATGGGTTGCATAAGCATAAGAGTGTATGCAGTTTTCGGAGCAGGGCAAATCGAGACGATTGAGCCGCAGAAGTGTGGCACCATGTTCGTCTTGTGGGTCATAGATGTAAATTTGCGCAAAAGCAGGTTGAACGTTCGGTTGCGGAAAGAGGGGGCCCAAGTTTTGTCGGAGTTCGCCTTCTATTCGAAGCATACCTGGCCAGGCGCCCGGAGGATATTGTGTTTCTTAGACAGTTTGCGATGTTAGTGCGAGTGCATTGTTAAACTGGCGCGCTCGTGTTCGCAGAGCCTCCCGTGTGATGTGTCGGATTCCCATAGTTGCAGGATTTGATATTCTGGGGTTTGCGCCGGAGGGAGCTGCCAAAATTTATAGACTTTGCCTTGGGGACAACACAACATCGTCCATGGATGTTTGTGTTGCCATTTCTCAGCACGACAATGAACGCACGGTGTTTTGTCACCGAGTGCTGCAACGGTGACAAAAATATGTTGTGTGATGAGAACGACAGTGTAAATGCATGCCGCATTGAGTCCCGGTTGGATGCGGTTAATATGCGTGTGTCTATAACGCTGCTGTTGTGTCCGATGTTCACGGCGTGCTCGTTGTTCTGCGGGGCGAGAAGATTCAGCTGAAGGCGATCACAGTTTTGCAGGGCGAGAGGATTCATCAATACAAACCAAGAACAATATGCACAAAGACCATAGCAATATGTTTAGCCGAGGATCAAACAGATACACAAATGCGGGAAAAGCATGCAGCGTCTCATAATATGCACAAAGACCATAGGTGATTGATTGATTGATTGATTGAGTGGTTGATTACATCGAATCGTTTGTTGATTGATTGATTGATTGGTTGATTGTGTCGTCCCCGCCTTGGCACCGCAGCCCCGATGTTGGGGGGGGCAGGGGTAGAAGGACGAAGGATCAAGGAAGCACACAGAGAAAGTAAAAGCAGGCAAGGAAATGAATCACAGTGTCAGCAAATCTGGCTTGAAGCCTCATGACAGCAATGGCGTTGGCTGTTGTGTGTTGATGATTAGTGCTGGCGTTGCTTTGCGGCTGGGACATCTTTATTTTTGTTGTAGATAAACATATATATCACGATATTGAGATCAAATATTAGAAGAACATAACATTTGATATTTTGTATGATTTACTTATTTTTCTGTCCGTCTCTCTCTGTGTGTGCCTCTTTCTTTCTCTCTTGATCCCGTGGCAGGCGGGGTGTTGGCATGCGACTGCGCTT